AGAGAGGGAAGGGGCCTCAAAAAGGGTGAAAATCCCAAGTTTTATCTGTCTTTCTAGGGTTTTTTGAATTTTTTCCAAGGAATTTACAGCGTCTTGTTCTTTCTTTGTGACCAAATTTTTCCCAAAGTTTTTCAAACCACTAAGCCGGGTCTAGTCCCTGTCTTTAAATGGGTTATCCTTAATTTGTCACCTATCCAGTATTTCGACGTGCAATGTCCCCGAAATCGATATTTGTCAGTGTAGAAGATCCAATCCCATTAGTGCCGATATCGTATCACTCATGCAGGTGCGGGGAAGAAGGGGGGGGGGGAGATATGAACTGGATCCCCCGCTCTCATCGCACTCTACTTACGAATCCTTCTTATCCGAATCGGCTGATTGGATCATCATCGAGGCCACGTAATGCACTAAACATTTAGTGGGAGAATGTACCTGTGAGGAAAATTTGGAGGTGTTTAAAGGGTTGAAATTGGCTCCCATTGGCTCGCATCCAACTTCTCGGCTCAGTGTTTTGCTTCCCACCTAGAAGAGGGAGTACTTGAGGGCTTGAGAGGTCTTAGAGCGAGAATTTTGAAGATGGCCTGCCATGGCTTTCATTCAATTTCTTGGCCTAAGATTTTGTCGAGGTGTGAATCCTAGAGATGGTTCGCCGTGGCTCGCATTTCCTTTCCCTGCTCAGCTTTTTACCTCCAACCAGGAATAAATGACTAATCACTAATGATCGTTTGGCGCTTCCCAAGCGCAGACACACATCTGTTCTCCGCTTCGGGAGCAGCCGGCCCTGATGCTAAGGATATTCAGTGGCGTCTATTCTCGCGATGACGCAACACGCTTGACACTATCCTAATTGCGTGTGCTCTTGCTGGTCTAATCGTTCCACACACGGATTACACATGCTGAGTGCCAGTAGTGCAAACATTGTCAGAATAATCAGCAGAAGCCACGGAACGAGAGAGAGCCGTAGCGGTCAACTACCTCGGCGCAAATGACCACTTGGCTGCTCTGGCTATCCGTGGCTGGCCTCTTCACTCAAGTGATGTCGTTTTGTCATCGGATCCTAGATAGTTTTTTTGGAACAGGTAGGGGCTCGGGGCTCCCGATCGGGGTTCTGCTCCAGTGCAAGACCTATGTAGAATATTCTTCAATCGAAATAGACAGCTAGAAAGTCATTTAGTTACCGCCTTGTTCAGAAAAGCTTAGAATGACTTCCATAGCTCTTCTCAAAATGCTTAAAACAATCTGAACCCTTTGCCCTTCCTGAAAAGTTCATCTAATTACTGTTTTTCGCTGAAGATGACAGAAATAGTTCTATAGTTCTTACAAAGTTTTCGTAAGATATCCTAGGATCTCTCTTCTTCATAAAGAGTCCAGGGCCTAGAACCCAAAATCTTTGAGGAAAGTGATGAAACGCTATTATTGATAGTGCATTTTATGTCTGGGATGCTCTAGCATAGGACTCAAATTTATGAAAATCTACATTATTGGAATTTGCAGTGTCCGAGAAACCAGATTATAGAAGACTAATTTTGAAAAACGACATTTCATGAAGCAAACTGTGTTATGAATATTCAATAACACTTGCCTCCGCCTCCCTCCTCCAAACTGTAAAATCCCGCTAGATTGATTAGTTGATTTCATCAGAATATATATTGCAACAGTCTTTAACAAATTCGAGAATGAAGTCAAGTAATCAGATTAACGCAAATAATCTATTTCCTATGGGAAATATTCTCTTCCTAGATGACTGAGTACTTGGTCAATTTAAATATTTTTAGTCCATAATTTGAAGGCTGGTACTTCCAGTATCTTTAGTAAAATATCAGGTATTGATTGTATTTACAGCTGAGATAAAAGTAGTATGAGAACGGCTGGGAGAGTGATCACCTCCAAATTGAATTACATTAACAACTGAGTGTTGCGGGAGGTGAGAGGAGGAGGGGGGGGGGGGGTATGGGGGAGGCTGGAGAAGAGAAAGGGGAGAGAGGTAAGAAGTTTGCAATATTACTGCTAATTTGTGTACATTACATGCAAACTGTATTTTTCCATAGGTCAATCCTTGTTCCACCTCGCTCTCTAATGAACCGAAACCCATCGCATCAAACAGCGCTTACCATTTCCACCACCTATCTCTCCACTTACTCGTTCTCGAAGACATTTTTGCCCAAAAAGTCCTTGATAGGGAAACACAGAGTGGTGTTGCCTATGGTTTTTAGCCACCAAAACTCTCTTGTTCGTCTCGCACTCTATACAGTTCACATCGGCACAGGTTACGGTATCGCATTTCGTCGCGATTCACTCGCTGGTGCGGGGCTGCTGAGAGTTGTTTGCAAGAAATTGAGACGATGAGACGGAGACGGGGGGGGGGGGCAGGCCCGCTCGCTATCGCATGTGCGATCGCAATAGGATTACGGTGTGAAAAAGCGTATCGGAACGTTCCGGTGGGGAAAGAGCAGGGGATTTAGTAGAAGTGACCACTTTTTGGGCAAATCCGGAAGTTGATGGGTAATTTCAATCTCCAGCAGTGCCCTAAATTTTAAAGGGGTTACGCCTAGCTTTTTTGGGTAGCGCGATATGAAACTTTACAAAGAAACATAGCCTATTCCCTTCTGCCCAAAAATTCCTAGAAAAAGCCCCGGAAACAGCATAGAAATTAGTAGACGCAGAGAATTAGAGAAAAAGATGTGCGGGCTGAGAAGTGCGCATTACAGGCCATTAGCACGACCGACGAGAAGGGGAGAGGAGACACCACCCATGTCATCGTCCAAACAGAGACAAATTCTTCTTGATGGCAATTTGCGCTCCGTGGGGAAATCGGCCGATTTCGTCCGTGTCCGCTGAGAGGCGAATTGATAACGCTAGAGCTAATGGTGCTGGAGATGGGTAGAATTTCGTCTGTTACCCATGGGTATGTGCCTACGCCCGAACATGCGCGCGGGTGACAAAAAGAGCTCGTGGTTACTGCCTTGAGCATCCGTGGGTGCAAACAACTTACACGCACTACTTCGACACCCCCGGGCAAAATACCCGCTTAACACGCCCTATCTGATCCCACCCGGCGGATGTGTCGAGTCCGGCGGTACCGCCACCGAACTACCGTAGCTGCCCGTGCTCATCCCCTCTCCCCGTGCGATGTCTAATTGTGCGCGTCGATAACGATGAGAGTGTCTTTACCCTCTTAACTTGTTGTTGAGAACCAACCGACAATGATGAGAATGGATGGCGCCGGGTAGAAAAACACTCTCGACTACTTATGTTCAATAAATGATCGCGCGGCCGCCTCGCGAATCACTCGCTTCGCAACCGCCACCGCCACCAACGACGACGACAGGTTTCGCTCAACACCACTCATCGCAGCGCTCATGGCCAAAGTAATGTCGCATTTGTTTCGCGAAAGCAAATTGAAATCAGTGAAGAGCCTATTGGTTGTGATGGACAGTGTTGGGAGAACAATCTCTTAAGAGAGAGTCGCCTGTGAGGAAATTCGGAAGGCGAGGTGGCGGTAGAGAAGGAGGTGATAATAGCCTGAGCATCAATTTTTTACAAAAATAATCAAATACTATCATTATGAAGCAAATTAACCGTAATTCTGAAGCGACACAATAGGAGAGTACGGATTACTTGAAAATCTTTGGGTAAACATGTTTTCTGATATCATATGACAAGAAATACCGTAATCTTTATTGGAAAAATAAGAAAACGGCTGTAATGTACAAAAATTTACATCGACATTGCGAAATTCATTATTACTTCATTCAGTTTAGTGTAACGTGCTCTAACGAGAGCAATCCTAGATGTAGTTCTAAAAAACATTCCAAAATTCCATAGTTTTTACAAAAACTTTCACAAAATATCGGACTAAAGCAGAAAACGTTTTTCACCGCTTTTGAGATGATTTTATCATATTTTTTTTCTAAAAAATAACAACGTAATCATGTTTTGCGCAAATCTCCCGAAAAACCTATTCCATACAAAAATCTTGAGCGGTATCTTCACTCTACCAGTCTCAGAATCCTTTTGTAGAAAATCAATAGTCTTCTGCTTGTTTTCGAAATTTCTTTGAAACTTCTCAATAGAGTAAAAACATGTTTATACCAAGTTATAGAAATTGAATCTTCCTAACGCGATCCGCGTCTGTGATAGTTAGTCATCTACTGTACAAGATTTGCGTACAGATTTTAGTAACTGAGATGTTGTTCAGAAAGGAATTCGGGGTATTTAAAGATGAATGGAGGAAACTCGAATTTTTGAAAATAACTACCACACCTTCGCTTTCTAGGACTGGTCAATTCACTAGAGCCAAGACACTCCATATTTTTGACAAAAATCACAGGATTTGAATACCATATAGAGTTACAAATGAGAAGAAACAGTGTGAAAGAGAGCACCGCTGATGGCGCAAAATGCTCGAAGAGCGGCTGGCTGAACGTAGCAGCCGAAGCAGCAAGCAATCGTCAGTCATAACAGAGAGCAGAGCAGCCAGCAAACGGGGGGCAAATACACACCGGCGCACAATCGTTGCTGCTTTGGTGTGTGCAGGTAAAGGCCAAGCTGCAGCTTCGACCTTTTTCAAAAGAGCGAAATTTTGCCCTTCAAAAAATGTTTCCGGAGTCGGGATTAACTGTGGAAAGCTAGCATCATCCACACCGGAAGTGAGAGCAAGAGGCTAGGGAAGGACTACACCATCGTCCCGGAAATCTACCCTTCTCATCGGCGAATTTCCGGCTTAAGGTATCTGATGCGCGCACTTAGCATGACACTTCCAGACTCCACACATTGCCATGTTATCCCCCGGGCACATAAACCCGCGGGTGTCGTTCGGAACCAGTCGTGCTCGCGCTCCTCCACTTCTCCATACACACACACGGGGCCCCGCTATTCTCATCTCATCATCACCAGCCGTATGCCGGGGGCGGGGCGCGGGACGGGTACGTGCGGACCAATCAGCCGCCGCCACCACGCCCATATCATTAAGCAAGCTGGCGGATCATTGTGTGTTGGTACGGTTGTCGCTGGTCGGGGTGTGTAGCGAGCCGAGTCGAGTCTTGCCTTTCCGTCCCCGTCAGTGAGTTGACGTCTTCCCTGGTCCGGGATGTTCACCCCGGAGCAGCTTCAAAAAGTATGGATGCAGCTGGCCCTACAGGGCATGGGCGCCAATTTGGCCGGTCTGCAGGCGCTACAGGCTGCCACCAGTGCCGCGGCGGCTCCACCGGGACTTTTCCCACATATTCCTACGGCTAGTATTCCTGTATTGAATCCTGGCTCTCCTACCACTTCGAATCTCACCGCTGAACAGGTAATTATCACTTTTTCCTATTTTTACTTTTCTCCCTTATCCCTATTCCCCCTTCTATTCATAACTTCTGTCTCTTCTCAATACAGAAACATATCACGCCCGTGAACATACACTCACTCACTCACTCTCGTGCGGTTCTGACTCATTTCCGCTCCGAAGATCCTTCATCCATCGCTTTTAGTCGTTCGAATGTCGTTGTCTTTCTGAGTCAGTTTGCGCAACCTTTCCGCAAGCCATCTTCATCCGTCAGCCATTCTCTACCATTCACAACCACTCAATACACATTGCACTCGTTGTTTTGAGCAAAATGTCAAGTTACATTCATTCTTCAAGTCGTTCTCTATATGAAAAGTTGCTCATTCTAGCTTTTGTCCGAGTTTCCGGAAGTTTTGCGAGAGGCTATTGAGCCTGGGGGGCTCATTGTTACAGCTCGATTTCAGCGAAATTGCTCTTTACACTTGTTTTGAACTTCTAACTTCTCTCGGCTATTCTCTAACTAAAAATTCTTTTTGGAAAAAATTTCTAGAACTTTCGAGATCCATTCCATGTCTCTTCTCATATCTAAAAATTCCACACAACACAAGCACACTCGTCTTTCTTTCACTCTCACGGACGTCTCAAAGACGACTTCAAAATGAAATTTACACGGCAGCTCTTTGTCCACGACGCTAGACTTGATTAGGATACCCTGCTCTCGTCAGTGATAGCCGGAAATCTCGTCCACACACACACAACTGCCGGCTCACAAGCCCCCCCCCCCTCCTTCCCCCGAAAAGTTTCCTTAAAGAATGAAAAAGAGTTGTGAAAGCTAGCTAGTTGTGTGTCTATGTGTGTGGCTAGACTAATAGCTATGCTTTTCTGGATATGTGTACGAGAGGGGCGATAGGGGGGCTGTGTGATGCGGCTAATTAGTTGTCGTAACAATACTAATAATCGCCTAAAGGGCTCACTACTAGCTATATATGGGCATTATGGTTGTTTATTTGCAGATCATTCAAACATGTGATCAGTTGGAGAAAGCCGACGATGTGGATCGGTTGGCGAGGTTCTTGTATAGTCTACCGCCTAGTATGGCGCAGGAGGTTGGCAAAATTCAGAAAAAATCTCCGAAAATCGTCAAAAACCCCTCATTTTCAGGTAGTCTCAAATGAAGTCGTCCTGAAGGCCAGAGCCCTTGTCTGCTTTCATATGGGTGATTTTCGTCAGCTCTACAGCATCCTGGAAAATCACAAATTTACCCAGGGTAGTCACCAAAAGATGCAGTACATGTGGCAAGAAGCCCATTACCGAGAAGCTGAGAAACAACGCGGCAGGTTAGCCTTTTCACCCTTTTCAAAGAATCCGGGCAAGGGGGTCAAATTTCTGCGCGGCTCTTAAGACATTGCTTTACCAAGACATTTGCCCAACCAAGACTTAATATGCGGTAATTAACGGTTAGACCCCTCGTCTGCTAGGAAGCGGCTGTTAGCCGAACGCCTAACATCAGGCGCTGCGCTTACCTTGTAATTAGTGCGGATTCTACTAATTTGCGTTCCCAAGCTACATAAAAGTCATGGAAACATATGGCATACGGCCAAGATTTGTTGGTCCCTTTCAAAATTGGCTACATTTTAGGCCTCTTGGCCCCGTTGACAAATATCGTGTCCGTAAGAAGTACCCGATGCCAAGAACAATCTGGGATGGAGAGCAGAAGACTCACTGCTTCAAGGTAGGCTTTTTTCTTCCCAAATGCCCCCAAAAAGGGATTTGACCTACTCAAACCTTCCCTAACTATGCCACTTTTTAGGAACGAACCAGATCATTGTTAAGAGAGTGGTATCTGAAGGATCCGTATCCAAATCCAAGTAAAAAGAAAGAACTAGCAAATGCCACCGGTCTCACCGCTATGCAAGTCGGAAACTGGTTCAAAAATCGTCGCCAAAGGGATCGCGCGGCTGCCGCCAAGAACAAGTGAGTGACAGTTTCTTTTAAATCAGGTGGGTGCAGATAAATAGGGGTATTGATGTTTGGGGGTAAAAAGTGTTGGAAAATTTGGTGAGGAGTTGGGGATTACTGTAACATTGTTGCCCATTCTTGCATTCTGATCCCTGAGAAAAATTCCGATAGCTAAAATTAAAAGGTTATGAACTGATATATATATACATATATATATATATATATATGGGGGGGGGGGGGAGAAGCAGCAAGATCTTCTAGAAGAAATTTGATAAAAAACCTAGTGTTCTTTTGACCATTTTTGCATCAAAATTGTCTGAGAAAACTCAACTTTAGCAACTTATATTAGACTGTTTACGTTTTCAAATTTCCAAAAAAAGCTAATACAGGTGTTTCTTCCCCACTCCCCTCCCCTTCTCTCCCAGTTTCCACTATTATTTTCTCAAAACTTTGGTTCACATAAGAACGGGGTGAGTAAGTTCATGTAAGACAACTTAGACCCTCAAAGTTATAGACATTTGAAATTGGCAAATTGCCAGAATAATTTGGATGTAACCATCAGGTTGAGAAAGAGTCAAAAGCCCTTGTCTTAATATTGCTTGGGAAAATTTTGGAAAATAAACTTGATCAGGAGATTGGTGAATACTGTAAATAATTTCACTCTTATGCTTTCTCGTACTGCAATTATTCAATAAAATGTATGAACTTTATTGAACAATGTATACCTTCACAATGTCAGAAATTTCAATATATGAGCATTTCTTCTCCACCCCTCCCCCCTTTCCCCTCCTCTAAGCAGTTCACTCAGAATGTGGCATTTTTACTTCAAAATTTGATCAGAAATATATGAAAATCGGAATCTCAGGGTTGTGGCTTTCCTAAGTTGGCAAAATGCAAATAAATTTGGATAGCTTTTTCTATACAAGAAAAGTCAGATCTATATTTTGTCACGGACTTGTATACCGTTATTTAATGCAGTGTGACTGCTCTCCCCCAAAAGATTTTACTCCAAGACAAGAAATCCCCCTAGGACTCTCCCAAACACAACAAAAACCCACTAACATCCTAGGTATACGATGGCTATGAGTTGCATTAGCCGCCCTTATGATCCTCGAGTATTAATTCCAAGCATTCGGCTCAGTTTAGCGTGAAATTACTAGGTAGAGTGGAAGAATATGGAGAGGATATGGAGAATGCGCTCATTTGACTCCCTATTGTTACTGAGACTACTCACAAGAAGGGTATAGGGCTATTGTTCTAGGGCAAAGTAAGCAAGCTTTCATAAGAAGATAAGGGGGTGCTTTTCGCCCAGGAGGGCCTTTCCTTGGGGGTTCAAGAAGCCATAATTGCGTAAATCATGCCTTATGACTTGCTTCTCATGTATAGAACACCCTATCTATGAATTTCCTGCCATCAAAACATGGTGAAACTAAAACCAGAGAGCGACCTTGACTTTAGTTGCCATTCATCGTCTTGTACCCTATTATTTTCGACTTAGTGGTTGTGAGACGAGTTGTCATACATACAAATTGCCGCGGAAATGATACACTTTAGCGAAATTCCTTCTCCATGTTTTCCAAGGGCGGAATTGCCTGTTTTGTTGCCTATCTATTCGAATAGAAACTCTTTTGATTCGTAGACAAAATATAGTCCTGTGAGATGGAGAGGAGAGCGAAACGACGTGCGGCGCCAGCTATGATTCGCTTCGAAATTTGTTATCGAAACATTGTCAGCAGGCGACAATCAAAGCATAGCCGTCTCAAGTGACATTCAGCTAGCTCTATGGGATGGTATTTACAACGTATAGGGTGTGGGAACATTGAGAAACGGTAACTGGAAGGGGTAGGGCTAAAAAGATCTCTTGCTAGTGTGATACTATTTTGGGGACCGATATGAGCAGTTCGAGACCTAAAGTTCTTATTGGGCAACCAATTTTTCCAAATTTTCAAAAATAATTGCATCTAATAGTATCCTGGAAGCTAAATCTTTTTAAACTTGAAAGTCAATCTCAAAATCTGGAAAATACTGGAAAAACGTTGGGAACATGTGCTGCACGAGCACTAGGGAGTTTTTATCTAACCTGAAAATTTATCTGACCTCAGTTCCGGTTGCTTCATCTGCTGTGAGTTTGATTAGAGATGAAAGAGAAGTGAAAATGAAGATTAGGGTATTTACTGGTCCAAGTTCTTGTAATTAGTCACTTTGATGAAATTTTGGGAAACACTAGTTTTCAAGGTGCTGAGAATTAATGGAGTAATGCGAATCACAAAGGGATTTGACTGCTCTTCCTAGCTTCTTTTCTCGCTTGTGGTTATGAACTTTTACAAATTACCAGGGAAAACATTATTCATGTGGATTTAGCGTAAAGCAAGAGGGTTTTTTATTTCATGGGAGAGCGAAATCACTGCATATTCTTAATTTTCACATTTTCAGGCAAAACGTGATTGGTGTCGAGCTGAAGAAGACCTGTGGTTCGGATGGCTCTGACAGCGAGGACGAGAATGAGTTCGATGACAGCATGACCGACTCGCCTTCTCCAATCGACGAGCCGAAGGACCTCTCTCTCCGGCCGTCGTTTACGACCGATCGCCTTCTGGAGCCTCCTTCATTCCCAATGAATCCGGCCCTGTTCCTCTTCAACCCGGCGTTCCTGCAAATGCAGCAGCAGCTGGCAGCTGCGCAGTTCCCGAGTTTACCTCTGCCGGTGAGCCGCTCCTCTTCGCCCCCGTCGCATCCGCCACAAAAACGTAACAAGCTCTCCATCGATGAGATTCTTGACCTTAAGCCAGACCTGAAACCCTGTGCTTCACCTCATTCTCTCTCTCCCACATCGTCCACCTCAAATAAGGAGCTGTCAGCTTCACCCGAGGTGAAACCGAGGGATTCCGCCGCGGTGGCGTCGTCTACGGCGCCTCCACCTGCGGAACAACCCCCTCAATTAGTTGTGTAGTGATGCATTTTTCTTTTTTTTACAAAAATTACAGTAATTTATGTGTTGTTGAATTTGTCGTGTGTGATGATCCAGGTTCTCTATAATAGAAGTAATAAGAATTAATTGCAAGAATAATTCCACGTGCTCGATTGTGATCCATGTACAGAATTTTTGTAAGATGTCGTCATTTTTCTTCGTATTTTTCTTTTGTAATTCTAACTATATACAATATTGTGTGCTAATGCCAAAACAGTGTTTTCTTCTTTGTTTTGTTGGAAACATAAATCTAAAACCAAATCAAAACTGCGAATGTTTTTCAAACTTGTCAAAAGTTCTTTTTTTTTTGGTAGCAGGTATTTATATTTGAGCAATTTCTATGAAAATAGCAAAAGGGTCCTAATTTGAAGTTTTGTCACGATCCTACAATGTCTTGGCAGAAATCCAAGAAAAAAGTCATGAAAATCAATTATAAGCTTTTCTTAGATTTCAGACTTGAAAATGAACCCCTTACATGCCAAGTGATTCTATATCAAAATTACAAATATTCTCAAAGCCAAGAAGAGTATACTTATTACTCAAAATCTGTTGAAAATTCAAAACCTAAGGAAACGGGAATTTTTTTCCAAAATCTGTTAATCCTATTAAGAAGAATTTTATAACCTTTGAATTTTTTTGAAACTTCCTTCTTTATGTATTCTGTCCTTGCTTGCAATGACATTTGCCAAAGTTTTATTTTTTCCTCCAGCTACTCAATAGGCATTTCTAAAGGGACCTTTCAAAAAACGATTCAATTAGAATTTTGGTTACATACCATATCCAAGCTGCAAAAAAACCTCTCTATGATCCAGATCACGGTCTGATTTTCAAGTGCTGAACTAGAGCGCTTTGTTTGAGCCCTATGTCTCTCCACCAGAAGAAGACCCCCCTTGACTAAACTTTTTCTAGCCCTCTTGATTCTATGTCACGACACGAAATCGTTTCTGTCGATATGTAATCGATTAGGGTGTAAATTGTCGAGAAAACCCCGTCACTGATCACTTTTCGGATTGTGTGGTCCGTTATGTTGTCAGAGCGGATGATGCCGTCGCAGTATCTCTTTGAATATTTACATATACGATTAGTAACTAAGAACATGTATACACTTCACGCACACAATCAGCTCAACCACGTATCGTAGTGGTGCTTACCGTTCTTCAGCCTCTTACAGGAAATTCCGTGCGGGACCCATGGGTATCATATCGGGAGCAGTATTGATCGTCCCGGGCTCAGCACAGATTGTATGGAAGAAGGCTGGACTTCGGCTTTGGGGCACAAAACTAAGGGGATATTGTGTCCAGAATTGCGACGCTTTTTTAGTCGACGCTTTGTTTCTTGGGGAGTTTTCGTTTAGGGCTTAGAATGAAGGGAAATTCCGCAAAATTACGCGAAAGTCAAAGGGGACTTCGTTTTCAAGAAGCCTAAAAACGGACTCATGCCCGGCCTTAGTCCCAATCATGTTTTGTTTCACTCCGTCTAAGGATAGGAACGAAATACTTTGTTAAGATTACATCGAGTTTTATGAGTATATTGGGTCCAGCACGGATTGCCTGTCAGACTATCCAACAAGTTTAAGCTTGTTTCCTCTCATTCAGCAAAGGAAATTTGTAGAATAGATGAAGCACGTGTTGAGTTCAAATAAACGCATGCGCATGGCTCTTTAGAGTGACACTAATACATTACTGACATGGAAGACTGCAGGAAATCCGCGTGGGACCCACTGTACCGATCCGCGAGCGGTATCGATTATTATGTGAAGATACTCTGGAAGCTTTTCGTTTGCCACCTAACAGGTTAAACTTGTTCATTCTGCATTTTGAATCAGTAAATCTTATTTAGGACTATCGATTTACGTGTTCTAACTTGTTGGACACACCGCGTGCCTTCCAGAATCCTTTATATCCGAAAATGCGTGGGTCTAATGGTTCCTTTATTCCGCGTGAAATATTAGAGCTTTCATGTAATGGATAAATGCGTTCCGGCGATTCGATTCCACTGGATGACATGCAGCAGAATTTCCAACGAAGCTGCTGTTCGACTAAATTGTGACGTGCTAAAAATTTGCTCTGCTCTCGATGCGGGTGCGGGTTACGGTAGGTAGATGTCAGATAGAATTGCAGCGACACGCGAGCCGGCATTTCAATTACGGATATTAGCGTCGTCGCCCCGCTCGCGTCAACGGCCCCGCCAGGTTTGCTTTTCGCCCCCCCCCCCCGCCCCGCTCTTCATCGCCCACCGCTTCGATTCTCGCGTTGAACACATACATACATATATGCACACACATAGCAAACGAACCCGTTAGCTGTGCACGCGCTTGCACGACGATGCGATCCGATACCGTAACCCCGCCGCGAAGAGCGGATCATCTCGCTTTAACAAGCTGTTCGACTATGATCACTGGGACGCGAGAAGTATGTGGTGACAGAGATCGGGAATTTTATAAAACGTTCCTGATTTTTTCTATAATGCTCTAATTCAAGAATAAATTTTCTGATTCAGAAATGTCCCATAAACGATTTATGAAGTTCCATGCGTAATATAGTTCAACCAAAAGTAAAGGGGACAAGGAAGAAATATAGAATTTGTTCTCATAATATGTTCGAAACAGGTGCTTATACATCATACTCTTGTTAACGATTTATGATTCCAATTCTCAATTCTGGCGGTACAGGCGGCCAGGTGTATCAGTTATCAATGACGAAGTTCAATCTGGTAGGTATTTTTGGAATCAGTTCGAAAGTCAGCTTCAGTTGAGAGTTTTACATCAATTTCTTAGAGTATTCTGCTTCGGATAAATCAGTCGGTGATTATTCCCCGTACCTTAGTCATACCATTAATCTGGACCACACCTACATATAGAGTGAAACCTTTGATTTATAAGTTTATTATTTATTCTTTTCGGTTTATTGATATTGATATTTTTGATATTTATACTCGCAGGGAAGTGATATAATGCACATCCATATTCCGGGAAAAAAACTTATCAGATCAACGTAGAAGAATGCAACATTTTATAAGTAAAAATGTAATTTAGGACCTGTCTTTCTGCTAGAAAACTTGGTGAAGAAATAAAATCCAAAACCTCATCATGAAGGTACGAAATGAAGCTAATACTTACCTTTTTATTTGTAAATTTTTGACAACTTTTCGCTCATACAGATTTTTTATTTAGCACTTTTTACTTGCAGCATAGTATATCTTTGATAACTCCATTTGACCTCATACAAAAATACCTACGTCTTTGGCTTGTGTTTATAGATTCATTCTGAAGACAATGGTGCAACTCTTTTCTGCTCTTTCTTGTCTTACTCAAATGGTGATAATTCAACAACTCAGTCTCATTTGATCTGAAGCTTTCAGCACAACTGATAAAAAAATCTTTTTCAAGATTTTGCATGAAAAATGTTTTTGAACCTTCATGATTTTTGGACTTTCGAGCTTCGATAAACTGAGTACACTCTCTAAATTTAGGTTAAGAACGCAGAGAACAAACAAATCGAGCATTACTGTAATTTAAATTATTTATCAGTCACTTAGTTCGTAGTATTCACAGATATTTCCCAATAACTTCAAGGCTTGTGGTCAAATTCGCTTAGTAACTTATTTCAGCACTTATTACCTCCTTTTATCTGACCAGACCACTATTATATACCAGTTTTCGTTTACTAGTAATTAGAACAACTAGCACATATAGCTAGCTATGTTTATCGCCAGGAGTCACGCTGTTCACCATACTCGTCATTATCACGGGTATGGCGAGCGAGGGGTGTGAATTCGGTCAGGAGGATATCGGCCAGGTACACCACCACCAAACAAGCGTTTAGAGAGGGGGTCCGTCCGAGCGAGGACGATTAGTGCAATTGGTTCAGTGATGAGAGAGTGCACACCGCGTCAATGTACCTACACGGGTTGATGTTTCCAATGCGCGGATCGGTAATGCATCATTTCCCGTATTCAGGTATTGGAGTGGGGGGGGGGGGGGACAAAATGATAGAAGAAAGAGGAGGAGGAGGGGATGTTAGCTATTTCTTTGACCATCGTTTATATTGGGTTGAACCGAAAGTTCGTTCACACCATTTTCAAAAAAATCATAACTTCTTTTCTTCACAATAACTTTGCGCAATTCAAATTTTATTGAAAAGCCTAAAGCATGTAGTTTCCAAAAGTCACCTGGAGACTTTCCAACATGCTCAGGTTGCAGAGGTAAAAATGAAAGAACGAGATCATCCGGAACAAGGCTCAGCACAGCTGGCACCGGGTCAAGCTGGATATCGTTTTTAGCGCGGAAAGCAAAGAGGATATCGTTTCTACAGAGCCGAGGCGGAGAACTGCCGCAAAAATGCCGCCGGCATGCCACCGGCATGCCATTGGCAAGCTGTCCATCAATAAACAAAGGCGTTGTTTTCAGCCAAAACGCAATAGTATGACACCAAATTTGGTGTGTGCATGCGCGTTGGTGGACCGGAACTACGGGCCAAAAATTTTTGAAAACTTATGTGAATGAAAGCTGTGCCGAACTTTTTTCTGAATTAGCTGGCACGGGGCCAGCTGGGTACCAGCTGAGCTGGCACCGACACTTTGTTCACATAAGTTTTCATACTTTTTTATATAAAATGTATCTACATTGTAAAAGATTACATACGGAGTAAAACAGTTTCATAATGTTCTCTTTTCAGCGTTTTATTTCAATTTGAAAACCACTCGGTCCGCTCCGCCGTCGAAAAATCGGCTTTTTCTGCTTCTCATGATGTATTCGACCACTTAAAAAGCTCAGAAAGCTGTGAAAAGTTCTTTCATGAAATCAGAAATGCATGAAAACACTACTACATTTTTTACATAATATAAAAATGATGACGGGTTTTCAAAACAGGTCAAAAAGGACTTCGTACGAAATTTTCAATATCAAACGGGACTTCGTTTTAAAATTTCCCTGGTGCCAGCTCGTGCCGAGCCCTGATCCGAAATTCGCAAGTTTTAAGCAAAAATTCTAAAAATCTAGAAACTGTGCGATAAAATCCAGAACAGCCATCATCTCAAGTTTTCTTATATTTAATTATTAAATGAGTCAAGTTTGTGCTGACCGAGGTCTTCTTTCATAAGTTATGATCTTTTTAAAAAAATCCGAAAAATTAATTTCCTAAGAATTTTTAAGAAATCGATTTTTCGGCAATTTCTTTCAAAAAATCATAACTTCTGAAAGA